CCTATTGCCAGGTTAGAGAGCAGATAAAAATAAAAACAAGATTTAATCCTGTCCATATAATTGTACAGGCACTGAAACTTGACAAGTCACCATTAAGTATTCAAAGTGGTATTGTGGCGTAAGGGATCTTCAGCAGCTTGCACATGAGAAAGAAGGAATAGTTTGGTTCTGCTTGGGTGTTTATAAATTTAATTTGTTGAAAACCTCTGGAAGAGATTACTGGGTGGAATCAACCCCGTCACCAACTCAAAGGAAAAATACAAGTAGCAGTGATATTGACATTTTTGCTGTACAAAATAGTTTTTTTCTGGCTCAAGTGAGCAAATAAAAAGTGCCAGCAATGGTAACTCAGAGGACACATGTCCATTCCACTCATGGTTCAAGGGTGGGAGAACTAGAACCTGGGTGTTTCAAGATGTTTCTGTAATTTTATAGCACCCAAAATAAAATATGTAACCTCTCTAAAATATTGTCACGTCATTTCTCAATGTGATAAATACATCTTTCTAAATAATGTTATTTCTTGTGTGAAAATAGGCCTGATGTATTGTTCTGGTTACTTGCCGATAGTTGATTCTGTAGGTTCATAGAGATAATTTTGGCTCTACATTAAACAGGTTCCAGGTAGAGGGAGGTAGTTATTTGAGGAATATATGGCGGTCATTAAAAAGTGATTTGCACATGCACACTGAGTTGTTTGAACTCAAGAAGAACAGACATCCACAGGCATATATTTCTGAAACAGTATTACATCAGAAACTTATAAATTCTTTTCTACTAAATGTAGCTTTCTATAAATATATCATTCCGCTATCCACAAAGCCTCTGGCTCTGCAGCAGGAGGGATCTTAGACTTGCAGCATACCATCTTCTTCTGGAGCCTCTAGGAGCTCCTTTCAGCTAAATACTGCATGGCTGGGCCTGCATGGGTTGAGAGTACAGCCAGTGAGCTGCTGGAAATTCCATTGACAACTGCTGTGTAAGTTGATGCTTCTCTAAATTTACTTTCACTCCTTATTATGTGACCTCCTTTTTGAGTGATCACAGCAGGGATGTAGACAGCAATGGCAATATGGCTTTTGCTTTTCTAACAGTAAGTCCTTGAGATGATTAGAAGTCCAAATAAGTGTATTAAATACAGCAAGAGTGCAATTTCCTAGAGTGAAGTACAATGAATACCTTTTTCTCACAGATTGTACTTCAAATATAGATAAAACAGAGAGAGATAAGCACTACCAGTCAGGAATCTTAATACATGTCTTAGTAAGCTTGATTAATGAGATAATAAAAAAGCTATAATAAGGGAAAAATCCAATTAAAGTAACTTGTGAGACTTCTCTCGCACAGAAATAAAAAACCAAGATCTGTAAAACTTTGAAAAATTGGAAAGATACAGATGAGAGCCTTAGCATTTGAGGCTACAGTATATCAGTTTTATCCTCTCTTTGACTGAGTGTTCCTTAGCTTATTGGGTTTTTCCTCTGCTGATGTGTTCTTTCCTAGAATTCTTGTTCTTTTAGAATTTATTTTTCTTGTTTGTTTGTATTTTCTCTCTGCATAGCATCTGAATATAAACATATTAATAATTTTAGCACCACAGAGCTAAAAGAAGACCAACAGGTCCGCAATATAATGTTTTGTATTCACAATATGAATATAAAGAGGGCAAAAAACTTTTGTCCACTACTCAGATTAAACAGAAGTGATCAGATGATTGGCTGCGCAAAGCTTATCACTGGTGCATGATGGCTTTCAAATGAGCATCCAACATATTTCTTAGCTTTAATTAAGAGCTGGAGGATTAGTGACAGATTAGGGACAGTAGAAGAGGTCAAGGGCTGGGAGGCTGGTTAGGTTGTTGGACAGAAGTAGGAATGGAAAGGGCTTTGGAGCACCAGAGTAAAAGATACTCCTCAAGAGTCCTGAGTCTGCACTTCTCTGCTGTCTGCAAACAGCTGTGAAATTCACTGGAAAAGTGTGTATTTTATTTCCTTCTAGTGGCCAGACCACTATTACTGCTACCAGTTACTCTGTTATTTCCATGGTAGAGCAGCACTTTGAATATAAAAGTGATAACATAAGTTGAAAATCAATATTGATCCTTATACTAGAATTGCTCAGGTTGTTTTTTTTAAGTCAGGAAATTATATTTCAAACCTTGGTTAAGTTTATAAATTCAGAAAGTCCACAATTAGGAAGTGATAGAATTAACCTTAAATCAGGTCTAGGTAATATTTATTCAGCCCTTGTGTGTACATCTGATGATATTGGTTTTGATTACATAGTCACATGTTTTTCCCTTGTTTGAATGAAGTTCAAGTAAGTATCCAATTTTTTTTATCTGTCTCATTTAATATGTGACCCAAGACCTCATTTATTGTGCAGCACTGAATACTAATGAATTGCCTCATGGGCTATTCTTCATTGCTTCACAAATGTGAATAGATTACTTTCATAACACGCCTCTGGGAGTGGGGAATATTATTATTCCCATTTTCCAAGCAGGGACTGAGGTACAGAGAAGTAAGACCAAAACTGTCCATTGATTTAGGGTTCCCAGCTGCACACATCTAGTGCCTTAGGGTGTGTGTAGATGAAACAGGGGCCCTATATTGAAGCGGTGGGTTTTTAAAAACACTGCTTCGATTTAGGACAAAGTAAACCCCTGTGTTGTGTACACCTGTATCTTACCTGTCTCTCTGGTGGCAGAGAGGGGAAGGCGAGCTGCTGGCAGGCAGAGTGGTCCCTGGGCTGCAGGGGGGTGGGGTGGGACCCTGGTGCTTCCTTCTGCGGCAGTGGTGGCCCCCCCATCCCAGGCAGCACCCGTCCGCAGGTGCCTGGCTCAAGCGGTCCTGGGGGGCACCGCAGCTGCGGAGGGAAGGACTGGATCCCCACACAGCCCATGCAGACAGGCAGGCTCCAGTGGGAAAAAAAAAAGATCAGGCTGCTGCTTTTATGTTTTGTTTGGTGGAGCCTGCTCTCCCGTGCTGCTGCCAGGCTGCCTGCACAGCCCCTGAACTGCATGGAGCCTGGTGCTTCTCTCCACAGCTATAGGGCAAACTCTTTGGAGGTGTTTTAGTTTGCTGCACCCTAAAGTCATTTAAGGCGCATTATGCCACTGAATGTACTACAGTGGCTGGAATTAATGCAATTCCGGCAGCAATACACTGCTGACATGTGCAAACACCAACACCATTAAAGCGGTGCCAAAGCATTTAACCCACTTTAAAGTGTCGTGAACACATGCCCCTTGTTTCACCTACACATGCCCTTAGAATTTTATACTACATTCTAGGTTTAAAACACAACTCCCATTGAATTTAGGTATGCCACATTGGACATCCAGAAAATGTGGTGCACAAATTATGATGGCCAGCTGTGAAAAGTTTGGTTTAATGACTTGCCTGACATCAGACAGAGATCCTGTGGTTCAGGCAGAGAGAGATCCCAGTTCTCCAAGGTGGCATTCAACTTCCCAAATAATACAAACATCCTTTCTTTTCTTCCAAAATCCATATGCATCTTACCATCTCTGCAATAAACAAGGCAAATTTTCTACAGATAACAGCCTCATCTGCTTCATATTTTGGCTTCATTTGCAGAGAACCATCCACGCTTTGCACTGAATGAGGCAAGAGTCCTGTGGAAAATTTAGTATACAGTCATATAATTAAAGAACACATCATAATGTATAAGCACAAGGGTGATGACTTAGGGACGGTGGGGCAGCCTTAATACTGGTATCTTCTAATTTTTGAATACTTGACTTTGCAACATTAACATTTTTAATGTCTTTCTCTGGATGTAATGTATTGGTATGTGAAAGTTGCAGTAGGTGCTATGAAGTGAGTCTGTGACCCAAAGACAATCCCTGACCTCATAAAGTCAATGAATGCGCCTTCTTTCAGGGTCAACAGAAAGAGCAATTAGGCCCTTTCATTAGAGGAGACAGCTACAAACATAGCAAGACTATCCAAGGGATATGACAGGTCAGATCCAAGCCATATATTTTATGATGGCTAATGCAGAAGCCTGTAGATTGGCTTCACAGCTGCGTGCGTTAGAGACAGTGAGGCAGAGCAGCAGTGGTGAACGTGCGCGGGGGAGAAACAGAACATAGGCACCCAGCTCACTTGGAACGAAACTGCCTGCAGTCCTCTGCGCCTGTGAAGCGGGACTTTGTGTACGTGTTTCTTCAGTAACAGAACTGCCCTAACAAATAGCCCTGACGTACGAACCGCGCACCCCCCCCCCCCCCCCTTCAATTCATCATTTTGGCCAAAAGAGTAACTAAAAGTGTGTGTGTGGAGTAACTAAGGGTGCGTGAGTGCACACGTGTGGAGTAACTGTGTGCGTGTGTGTGTGGAGTAACTGTGTGTGAATGCATGTGTGTCTACTCTAGGGTAACTGTGCGTGTGCGTAAGCCCCTGAGCAACTGAGAGGGAGAGAGAGATACACACAGAGTGTGTAAGCCCCCGAATTCATTATTTGGGCCAAAAGAGTAACTAAGGGTGCGCGTGTGCCTGTGTAGGGAGTACGTGCACGGTGTGTACACGCGAACTTGTGAACAAGGTCAGCTGAGAGCGGCCCAGGCAGACCCGAGAGCAGCGGTTCGCAGCCCGCCACGCCACGCAGACAACCCGCCAGTGGTGCGCGCTAAAAGATTTATTGTCATTACTTTATATGACAAACTTTTATCATACTTTATATGACAAAAGTTTGCTGGTGGTACTGAAGGTCGAACCGAAACATCTGGTGGTGGTACTGACGGCTGCATCGTGTTTAGGAGATGGTGCGCAGTGTCAAGAGTTTGGCAACCGCCGCCCTCGAGCCCCTGCCCCCGGCAGTTTCTGGGCTGCGTTTCCCTGCCCCGAGCAGCTCGCTGCCCCGGCCCCGCGGCGGAAGGAAGGAAGGGAGGGCGGCCGGGCTAGCTCCCCCTTCGGCC